TGTTACAGAGCCCTGAACAGGGCTGAACTACAACCACAATAATCTGCCCTGCCCACACGCAATTAGAACGTCACTGAACCAGAGTGGAGAAATAGGTATTTACAGAGACATTACAATGCAAAGGAGAAAAAACAGCACAGCCCACAAATAAACATACCCATGGAACAAAGAACAATTTCCTTGGAATTCCTGTCAAAAGACACGCTGATCTTTCATCTGTTCATATCTGAGACTCCAAGGAACCAGACAGGCTCTGACCAATCTCACTTCTTGGAAGCAGGTACTCCCAAGCCCGGCTGGCTGACTTGTGTGGGCATGCTGGTCACTGCTGTCACATCGCCGCTACGTGAAACCTTCTGGCAAGCTTGCAACTATCTGCAAGCTCAAGAAGCCAAATTGCTGTTCTCAGTAAAAAGGAATGAGCTAACTATGACTTTTCTCTTTATTTTATGCAATTCTAGTGTAAACATAAGCTAGGGCAGTGTCCTGACAAAGCTGACAAAAAAAGCAAGTGAGCCAATGCCACCTGACAGGCTGTACTTCAGCTGCAAGAGATGCACTGTTTTGTCCAAAATTACTGGTGTAGTAACAGAAGTATTTTTTACTGCAATGGATTATTTAAAAGGGGGAAAAAATATCTAAAGCTACTTTCTGGAATAGCTCATGGGAAACTCTAGGCAAAGGTCGATGGTGATTTGTTTCTCCTAAATGGATATTGGTGTCCATATTCCAGGAGAACGTTCAGAAAAGCAAGAAAAAATAAACCGTAAACCATGAGGAAGTATAGGGAAGGAAAAGCAAAAAAAATAATATTTAAAACATATCAAAGAATAACTGTGATCTTGGCATTGCAAAATTTCTTTAAAAAGGAAGGCTGGTCCAATAGTTTAGGACTCAGAAGAATCAGAGAAGTCACTTGTACATCAGTTCACAAACATCCAATTAATAAAAGACTAGCACAGTCCTACCCCCCAGGAGCACTACAAAGATAAACATATGATTGCAAGGCTCTCCAATTCTCCACTGAGGGGTCCACTTCAGAAATAAGACAGCCAGATAGAAGTAGTGAGTACCAAGAGTGCACCATTAACAACGCCGTTCCCAAGTAGCTTATTGACTTCTCTGAAACATTTGGCCTGTAGCAAACCACAATAACAGAAGTACAAGCCACAAAGGATTTCATTATAATCTTTAACTTCAGGAAAAAAAATGGAAAAGTCCTCCAGAGCCTCATCACCAATGACAAATCTTCAATCTGTGCAAAGTAACTTCATAAATCACTGCACAAAACATGGCACTGCAGCTAATCTGGCTCAATTCCTTTTGAAACAAACCCGGAGTCATAAGTTTCTGCAAGTCACCAACTCATTACAGAAAATATTTTCTGGTTTCCACAATAAGCAAGCTGTACAAGTACAGAAGGTGCACACACAGTGACAGAATAAATAGAGGGCAGTACAGTCAAGAGACGCACAAGCTCAACTCACTGACTTCCTCCGCCACCTACCCGCCTTGTCCCAGCACCCCTTCCCCTTCCTGCCCAACACCATCTTCCCCTTCCAAAAAACAGAGCTGGCCCTCTGGGAAACAAGGGGTAAATTATGACACTTCCTTCAACCACCCACACCCTACAACAGACGCTAACACCAAACCAACCAGCTGTTCTGGACAGCAAGCATCTCCTTTTTCTTCCAAGCAGCCTGGATCACCCTCGTCCTCCGGAGGACAGAGCTGTAAAGCACAAGTCCACCACCGAACAAAAGAGAAGAAGAAAGGGTTCCCCGCACAGAGCGATGAAGAGGGAAAGGGGACATGTGGTGAGGAGGGCTGGAGGTGCACTGCAGATCAACTACAGAGGTACAAGCCTGGGTGAACTAATAGATCTCAAAGTCAGACTTCATTTGAGCATTTATGGCTCACCAAGTATATTCTGCACAATCTCCCCTTCTCTGTGTTACACAGGAGCACTAGACACATCACACTTCTTGCTTAGCATTTACCCAAAGTAATTTTAAACCACATCACGGTTCACAGTCTGAAATGAGAACAGGTGTCATGGAGCTGCTCCGAGTGAAAAAATTGACCTGGCAACACCCCAAAACCCCCAACGAATGCCCAGAGCAGCAAGGTGGTGGGAGGCTGGCGAAAACAAGCGAAATAGTTGTAATTCCATTCCTTCCCAACAATACATTGGCCTCTTCATGTGTGAAGACAGACCTTCAATCATCTCTCCATCGCTCAAACACACCTGCAGTTTGCTGTAACTGAAGATACAGAGTCTCAGACAGCCTGCTCACGTTTAGAGCTTGGAATGCTGTGTCTGTATTTAGCTTCTCCTCCTATCTGTCTGCTGGGAAAATCTTTAATCAAACACAAGATGTTTCAAACGTATCTCATACCACAAAGCCATCTGCAAACCAACCAACAATCCTGTGCAATGACTGCCACCTAATGCTCGGGAAAGTAACTGCACTCACTGAAGGAAAAGACCAGTTGCAGTAGATCAAACAAAAATTCTGTTTAAAATTTTCCTCTGTGCCCTCACAAACAATGCACTCTCTTTAAATACACCAGAAAAAAAATGTAATTCCGTCAAGGAAATATTTCCAGTATTTCATATTTATCCGGTGCTTTACAACTTCACACTACTACAGAAAATAATCCCTGCATAATTATCATTTACGCAGGAAAAAGCAGGGGGAAAACCCACTAAGGCACTGATCATCATGTAAAATCCCATTCTTGCGGTGAACTATCACAACAGAGGCAGGTCAGAAGCTTTCTGAAATATATTGTCAAGATAACTCAAAAGATTTTGCAGTTTAAGATTATCATTAATAATACTAACCTACTAATCTCTTTAATCTGCATAAAGCCAAATACCCTTTGGTTGGGAAACGTCACTGCAAGTTTGACCACAGACGGAGCGGTGAGCTTGCCAGTCCCTTGCCCCATACAGACTAGAATCCTGCTTGTAAAAGGCAGTGGTACAGAGCCTTTTCCATCACTGGCCACTCCGGCTTTCCGGGCATCATCGGCAGTAACAAAGGAACTTACACTTCCATCTGTAAGATTTTAGTTATGCCATACCCATAAGAAAGGCAAGATACCCTGGGATTTTATATAAATGAAGCGCACATTTCCTCCACCATATTATTTACAATCCAATGGGAAAAAAAAAAAAAAGATGCTTTCCTCTTTCTTCCACACACACAGTCCAAGGCTGATTATTTTGTACTACAAAGATCATTAGCAGGAGGACAGTGAGGGGATACCAGGTCTCAAATCTAGAAGCCCTTTTGGGTTTTTTAAGCTAAAAAGAGATCCCTAACAAATCTGTGTGCTAATTTCAGCAAAGCTGATCTCACAAATATGGTATTTCAAAACAGCATTCCATTCAATTTCTTTTGCTTTCATTACATTTTTGTTTCTCTTACACATTAAATAGGAAACTGAACGCAACAAAAGGAAACACATTGTGTAACTATACCCATCATTACTTACTTCTCCTGTGATTGGATTGGTTCCATATTTCTTTATCCAAGGAACAATACTCCTGAAATGAGAAGGAATAAAGAAATAAGAGACAAGCACCATCAGAAACCTCTATTGATGGGCATGATTATTTTTGCGAACTTGTTAAGACCAAATGATGATTACACAGCTGTAGCCAAGCAGTTCAGCAACACAAAAATAAAGTTAAGTACAGACAGTAACTTACAATATGTCAAAGACTGTCCCATCTGGTGTGCAAACTGGGTATTCAAATGGCTGCAGGGACAAACTAGGAAAAAAAAGTACACATTCTTTTTAGCAAAATCAGCTGCAAATCATGATGACATAAGCAAATAACGCTTTGCTGATTCACTTGCACGTTAAAGGAAGGCCTATGCCAATGAAAATACCGAGTGGCTGCCAATAACCCGATTTATGTAGAATCAGGTAGTGGGTAATAACAAAATCTGTGAAAGGAACTGGTACAGTTCATTAACTTGTAGCTGCCAGCACTCAGTGCCACAGGATGCTGTAATAGTCCCCAACCTGCTTCCACTGCCACGCTGGGCCCCACCAGCAGAAAAGATGGTTCAAGCAGACACACTGTCTGTGCACTGAAATGGGCTAGAGAGTAACTGGCAACCACATTCGGCAGCCCCTGTTAGGGATGCTTCCATAATCCAGCCAGCTTTTAGCGAGGCAGCGGTAGTTCGTAGCGCTGGATAGTAACTTCTTCAACTATTCAAGTTACAAGAGGATTTCTAACGCACCTCTACTAACTCCTCTCTTTCCCTCCAACAGTTCAAGCAGTAAACTCTAAATACAAAAATTTAGCATAAATGTTACTTCCATCTATCTAACCACTGCCTCGGAAAGAGGAGTGATTGACCAAGCATATTCTGAGCAGGGAAAAGTAGATTCAAGCCCCAAATACACACATTTGAAAGACTGGAACGTATACAATAGTTGTTCTGAATTATTTTATCTGATCTAATCTCAGCAGACACTAATCATGGAAAGTATAGGTACTGTTTCAGTTATTACTGAATTTTTTCTTGCTGCATTACTATCTTAGCAGACATAAGTCAATGAAAGTCACTACCTTGCAAGAACAGGGCTTCAGTAATAGTACAAGGTCAACAGCCTGATGAATAGATGTGTCATTTAATAATAATAATGCAAATTTATTGTCTTACCTGCAGTGATCAAATGATAAACGTCTAAAATTAGTTCGTGGAAGGTCTGTTTAAGGAAAAAAAGCGCAAGATTTTAATAAATACATAGTATTCTACGTAACAAAGAAACACATGAAAGTTACATTTTGCTATATACATGTTAGCAATTTACTGACTACCAGGATAAATACACTAAACCTTGCAAAACTGAAACTAAAATCAGACTTCTGCACAGCACAACCACGCTCCTCAACTGAAATTGCACACTCAGAAAAAAATAAAAACAGACCTCTGACAGCACTGAGTTTAAATTTGATGATTAACACCTCCAAGCTCTGCCCTCCCAGTGGGCACAGAACTGGCTGAACGCTGGGAGGGATCATCTGGGCACTAAACTTCGACATCAAGCTGAGTGGTACAGTGACACACCTGAGGGACAGGATGCCATCCAGAGGGACCTGGACAGGCTTGAGAAGTGGGCCTATGTGAACCTCATGAGGTTCAACAAGGCCAAGTGGAAGGTCCTGCACATGGCCAATCCCCAGGATCCTGACAATCCCCAGGATCAGCACAGGCTGGGGGATGAAGGGATGGAGAGTGGATCTGCTGAGAAGGACTTGGGGATACCGGGGGGTGGAAAGCTGGACACGAGCTGGCAATGTGTGCTGGCAGCCCAGAAAGCCAACTGTATCCTGGGCTGCATCCCCAGCACTGTGGTCAGCAGGGTGAGGGAGGGGATTCTACCCCTCTGTTCCTCTCTGTTGGGACCCCACCTGGAGTACTGCATCAAGCTCTGGGCCCCCCAACATAAGGAGGACATGGACCTGTTGGAGTGAGTCCAGAGGAGGGCCACGAAGATGCTCAGAGAGCTGGGGCTGTTCAGCCTGGCGAAGGGAAGGCTCCAGGGAGACCTTAGCTACTGAAAGTGGCTATAAAGGGTGCTACACGAAAGCTGGGGAGGGACTCTTGATCGGGGAGTGCAGTGATAGGACGAGAGATAACAGTTTTAAACTGAAAGAGGAGAGATTCAGACTAGATCTAATCTTGTTCTGAAGGTGGTGAGACACTGGCCCAGGTTGCCCAGAGAGGCGGTGAATGCCCCATCCTTGGAAAGATTCCAGGTGAGGTCTGGAAACATTCCAGGTGTGGTCGGATGGTGGTCGGAGCAACCTGGTCTGGTTGAGGATGCCCCTGCTCACGGCAGGGGGGCTGGACTAGATGGCCTTTAACAGCCCCTTCCCACCCAAACCCTTCTGTGCCGGTA